ACAGTTTCCGCTGATGTTTTACTGTTCGTCATTCTTAGTCAAATGAATCAGTCGGCAAACTGTTAGTTGGTTTTTCAAAACCAAAGGTTTAGATTTGTCAATCAGTTATGTATTTTAGTAGCACTTCGAGTCAGTATTTCGCAATGTAAAATGTTTTATTTTGAATGTAATTGCGAAAAGCGCGCTCTGATTTTCATGTCAAGGCGGGGTGTTACAGCTTAGTCACTGACCATGAGTCGTGGAGTGACTTTGTACTTGAAACTGTGATCTCTACTAAGTATAGTGATACCCGTTAGATGGACTTGTCTTTGTGTTGACCATGAGTCGTGGGACATTTTGATAATTAATTATCATGGAGGTTTCATGGGTTTAATTTGACACTGAGTATTATATACGGTCATAATATTGAGGTATATAAGAAAAGTGAGGCAAAACATCTTGAAGGTTGTATAGGGATACAATTGTCAAAAGTTGACTACCGATAAAATATCTCATACGATCATAATATTGGGGTGTGAGATATGTTTATTGGACTTCAAGCCCATTATGAAAATAAGATTTTCACAATTAATCTGGGGTTTAATTAAAATAGTGGGAGACATTTAATATTAAAGACCTTATATTTAATGAATATAAATCCATTATCTGATTATTTTCTGCTTCGTTCATTTTGTAGATATTCTACTAAAATGGCTAAAAATCCAATTGCGAGTATCCTAGAGCAAAACAAACTAACTGGACCAAACTTTGTTGATTGGTTGAGAAACCTTAAAATTGTTTTTCAATCCGGAAAAAGGGAATATGTACTTGACAATATCCCTCCTCCTACACCAGAGGATGTGACTTCGGATGACTATCGAGAGTATTTACGTCATAGAGATGACAATCTCCAAGTTAGATGCTACATGTTAGCATCTATGTCAAATGAGTTGCAGAGACGCAACGAATTATTTGATAATGCGAAAGATATCCTTAATCACATACAAGAGTTGTATGGTGAAAAGACGAGGCAAATGAGATATTAGATATCTAAAGAGCTTTTCAGGTGTCGTATGACTGAGGTTCTTCAGTTCAAGATCATGGACTGAAGATGATAGCCCTAATTGAAAGGCTAACATCCCTTGGAGTCATTATGGATAACGAACTCTATGTGGATCTTTTGCTTCAATCTCTGCCACCGTCATTTGACACATTTGTTGTTAATTTTAACATGCACAGTATGGAAACTTCTCTCCCATAACTGGTCAATATGTTAAAAATGGCTGAATCCACAATTAAAAAGGATAAGCCGGTGCTTTATATTGGACCTTCTTCCAAATCAAAGGTAGAAATGTCTAAGAAGAGGAAGAAGAAGGGAAAGGTTCCCGTGTCTAATAAGAAAGCAAATAACAACAAAGGAAAGAACAAGGTTAATCTCAAATCCAATCAAGAATGTTATCATTGTGGCAAAAATGGGCATTGGAAGAGAAACTGCAAGGAATATCTTGCAAGCCTGAAAAGTTCAGGTATTTATTTTGTTGAAGTTAACTTATCAGTTAATGATTCTTCTTGGGTATTAGATACTGGTTGTGGCTCACATATCTGTAATGAGTTGCAGATGATGGCAAGAAGCAGGAAACTAGAGCATGATGAAACAATCCTGAGGATGAGCAATGGAGCAAGAGTGGCTGCATTAGCTGTTGGGACTGTTAATCTAGTTATGGATGGTGGTAATTGTTTAAGTTTGAACAATTGTTTGTATGTTCCAGAAATAATAAAGAATATCATCTCTATTCCAGTTTTGGATAGAGAGGGATATAAGTTTGTTATCGAAAAAGGGAAATGTTCTATTTTTCAAGATACATCTTTTATATATTCTGGAAATTTAACAAATGGTTTGTATACCATTTCACCACAAAGAAACATCCTAACAATTCAACAAAATAAAAGAAAGATAGATAATCATAGTTCATTCACACTTTGACATGCTAGATTAGGTCATATATCTGAAAAGAAGATTCACAAATTAGGACTTAAACTCAACCTTAGGGAAGAGTATAAGTTACCTACATGTGAATCATGTCTTAGAGGAAAAATGACTAAATCACCATTTGTTGGACAAATGGAGTGAGCTAAAGGTTTATTGGATTTGATCCATACAGACGTTTGTGGACCACTAAATGTTAGTGCAAAGGGGAACTATCACTACTTCATAACCTTTACTGATGATCATTCTAGGTATGGTTATGTATACCTTTTAAGGTATAAATCTGAAGTATTTGAAAAGTTCAAAGAATTTAGAAATGAAGTAGAGAAACAAACTGGTCGTTATATTAAAACTCTTCGATCAGATCGAGGAGGTGAATATTTGACTAATGAGTTTCTAGATTATCTAAAGGATAATGGGATTCTATCACAATGGACTCCTCCTGGAACTCCACAACTTAATGGGGTTTCAAAAAGGAGAAATCGAACATTGTTGGACATGGTTCAATCAATGATGAGTTCCACTACACTACCTCTTTCATTCTGGGGCTATGCCTTAGAAACAGCTGCACATATTTTGAATAGAGTGCCAAGTAAAGTTGTGCCTAACATACCTTATGAGATATGGTATGGTAAAACCCCTTCATATAAGTATATGAAAGTATGAGGTTGTGATGCTTATGTGAAGCAGCAAGTGGAGATAAGTTGGATATGAGATCCATCTTATGTAAATTTGTGGGGTATCTAAAAGAGTCTATAGGATATTATTTCTATGATCCCTCAGAACAAAAGGTGTTTGTTTCGAGGAATGTTGTTTTCTTAGAAGAAGGGGTTCTTTCTAAAGAAAACAATGAGATTATAGAACTTAATGAAGAACCACAAATTATTCCACAAATTGACACAGATAACATACCAGTAAAGACTGGGCAAAGTGAAACACAACCTCTTCGGAGATCCATGAGGGTTTCCAAGGTACCTGATAGATTGTACCTATCGTTAAACAACAATGAAGAGGGACTTCTTTTGGATAATGATCCAATAAGCTATGAAGAGGCAATGTTACACATTGACTCTAAGAAATGACAAGAAGCTAGCAATCTGAAATGGACTCTATGTACTCTAACAAGGTAAGGACCTTGGTAGATCCACCAGAGGGTATTGTACCCATTGGCTGTAAGTGGGTCTATAAGCGAAAGCTTGGAGTTGATGGGAAAGTAGGGACATATGCATAATATTAAACTTGAACATGAGCATAACTATTTATTAACAAAGGCTAGCTTAATATTAAAAGCTAGTATTTTCCTTTATTAATAACTCGGGGTGTTACAATCCACCCTCCTTAAAATATTTCCGTCCTCGGAAATATCAAACTGACATGTACAAGCTTAATATAAAGCTTATACTTATTGCTGACATGACTTGAGAATTCAGTATTGAATACTGAACATTAAACTTGATCTTAACTGAGAAATCAACAATTCACAATTAAGTGAGTTGATGATTTAACGCTGACTGAAATGAAACACTTTTCTGAAATGAAGTGTTCACTGAATAAACATTATTCTGGAACATACTGATCTTCATCTCTTGGCTGACTACGGGTCTTCAATTTAAACGTTGATTGTGGTACTCCCATCATAGGTACCCCTGGAAAATTTCAGAGATGCGCACATGTACAAATGAGGGTAACTAGCAATCGTGGCAACTACCTTTCATGAACGTCTACTCGATACGCGGCACATCATTCGCGGCACATC